GGAAGCGTTTTTCAAATTCCACACGAACGAAGTCACGGGTAACAGATAGCTGGTACCATAAAACAAACAGTGGATGCGATATAAAACAGTGCTGAGTATAAGAATCAAAACGAATGGTTACAGAATGGCTTACTTCTCTGACTTACGATTCCATTAAAATACTCTTTGTACATTTGTCGTGATTGTTCTATTCTCTTGTATATAGCATAAAAATAACGTTATGTACGGCTAATTTCAATAGTTTAGTAATAGACAATGATCAATAACTTAGTTAATTGGTACAAGTATTTACATTTTTGTTATATGTTAAGAAGTTAATAGAAACTTTACTTTTAATGTTATTTTTATTTTATACCTTATATAGTGTAATCACATTAAACTATTATTGCCTCTGTTATGTATGTAAATGACGACAACTGAGTAAATAATAAATATAACTCAAATTGTAATCGAATCAGGTACTCACAGAACAGGTGTAGCATAATGTGGTGCCACTGAATACCGCATATTATTGAGAACATTATCTATCAATTTACGACTTACTTTTTAATTTTTTTTATAAAACTTTAACAACAATGGATTATAAATTCATATACCTATATCAATTGAGGAGAAACAAATGAAATGATTATTATTGTTTTCATTATTGCTGATTCACATCAACAGCTTTTAAAAGTCTCGTTTCTCTCTGCAGTGCTGTTGTTCTGCGTAGTTTTCTCCCTTAGTCGGCTTTTACCACACCCATGGGATGAATAGGGGTGGTGACTGTATTCTTAATCCGTCACAACACGGACCTATATTGCTGATTAGTAATGTGAAACTTATACATGTCTTATATGAGTATGTTTACTGGCTACTGTGTGGGGACTGATCAGTTGTTTCTATAAGCATATATGTATATATACTAGCGGACCCGACAGACGTTGTCCTGTCAAATTTGACACTGCGATGGTAGCGCCGTCTGTCTGATCCAATGTAAAACATTCCAAAATCAACAACTACTAATAAATTAAAAATTAATTAAAAAAAACATTGTCCAGCGGACAAAATTGTGAATCTAAACCATTCCCAGATCCCCTTGAACACACACAAAAAATTTCATCAAAATCGGTCCAGTCGTTTGAGAGAAGTTCAGTGACATACACACTCACAGAAGAATTAGATATATAAAGATGTATATCTCATACAGGGCAATCTGATCTGAAACTAATCAAAGCCTGTACTATGGTGACCAGACCGGAGCGCTGAAAACATATTGATATATTTCATAAGATAACTGTAAAGTTTAAAAAAAATACATAAAATAGAATTCTGACCTCTTCATCATCATCAACAGCCTTTAATAGTCCACTGCTGGATATAGGCCTCTCCTTAGAAATGAGGTTTTGACCTACAATACAACGCTGGCCAGATGGGTTGGTATATGGTTTGTGTCAAGATTCCCTTCTCTTTGCAGCGCTGTTGTCCTGCGTAGTTTGCTCAATTAGTCGCCTCTTACGACACCCACGGGATGAATAGGGTTGGTGACACTATTCTTACTGTCACCACACGATTTATAGTATAGAGGAGAATTTTACAGTATAAACATTTTAAGGCAAGAAAATACCTGAGTGTTAATTAAATTAGAGATAAAAGAGTATCAACTGTTAATATTTATTATTTTACTATTTTCTATCTTTTTGTCGTGGCTTTGCCCATTTAAAAGTGATATTCTTTATCGTGGCTTAATTATTTTTTTGTATAAAATTACTTAAACCTGTAGTTCTTGCCTGTAGTCATACTCACAACTTGATGAAACAATAACTTTATAAAAACTTAAAAAAAACACTTTAAAAAAATTAAAATGAATTATTTAAAAGTATTTAAAAAGTTAAGTGTTACGAGTATTTTTCTATGATTCTTATTATTTTTATTGTTAAACGAAGCGTTAAAAGTAAATGATTCAACAATGCCAAAGTATTTTTTTTTTGCTTATAAATTATCATATAACCTGTAGTTCTAAGATTTATACTTATAGAAAAAAACTAATTTGATTTGACAATTTTCTGCCGTATTATAAAGGGACATTTAGTAAACATTTCATAAACTACCTTTTTTGACATTAATTACTCTAGGAGTACTAAAAGAGGTCACTTTAAAAACATAAAAAAAAACGAAAATAGACTGAATATTTTGTACTATTACATTACCTTGCACTAAAAAGAAAGAATTTAGCCTTTTGGAGGTTGTAAAAAAAATGCAATGGCCTTATAATAGGCATTTAGCTATAAGAACGCTAAGTGTTCGCTTGTCGGTCTAAATATAGTGGCGGTAAGACACGTGAATAAACTAATCTAAGTAAGAGCGAGGGAAATGGGATATATAATACGATACCGCAAATCTCGATTAATGAAATGGGACTGATATTGCATAAGTTCGAAGAGGGCCTGATGGGCCTGATGGGCCTGATGGGCCTGATGTACCTTAGTCCATCCTATGATTGGAGAGACCAGTAGAGCATAGAAACTTAAATATTACTCAATCAACCAACTCACTCTAGCTTTCAATCAGCTCACTTAGGATGCATAATGTTTTTTATCCGTTGTGCTTCCTTGTTTATTAGGGTGTATGCCATTTTAACTTCATTTTTGTCTTGCGCTTTGCTAAAGAAGGAAGTGGATTTTGGATTGTATTTCCAACTTTTCCCAATTTACTTTTGTTTTTTTCTGTTGCGGGTTCCAAGACAGTTTAACTTTTCCTGAGAATTATTAATATTAATAAGTCTTCTCTACCCGTAAAAAATTATTCACCAGTAAACTCCTTTCTAAGGAGAGGCCTATGTCCAGCAGTGGACTATTATAGGCTGTTGATGATGATGATGAAACTAGAGTTGAGATTAATTGATAAAGCATTATTGCAAACGCATGTTATTACAAAAAAAGTGACATTTAATTTATTTCTGTTCTATATTGGTATATTTTTTGTATAGTGTGTTTATTTAAGCTATTAAAAATGAAAGAAAATCTGCTTGGCTTCAGATAGTGAACGTGAAAATAAGAAAATACTTCCAGCTCAATTATTCATACGATTCTATATTTATCTTTGGAAAAAAAATTACAATACTTTTTTTTTGGCCATAGCATAGTTAAGTTTAAACATTTTATAGCTTTGTTTTACGGATTTTCATCGTTAGATAAAAATTTGCTGCATTTTGCTAAACATATTATGAAAATCTCGGGGTAAATACGTTCTTGAGGGTAATTACTGCTGATCTAAGTCACTGACATAACTATGCTGATGCACAGAGTTAGGCTACACGTTGTAACCATGGGTCCATGTTGATTAGTGGCGATTTACAGTGAAAGATTGCAGTTTAAAAAAAAAATGTAAAATGATATTACTAATAAACATTACACATCACATCACATCAACAGCCTATACTAGTCCACTGCTGGACATAGGCCTCTCCTTAGAAAGGAGGTTTTGGCCTACTATATCACGCTGGCCAGACGGGTTGGTATAGGGTTTGTTTCAAGTTTTCCTTCTCTTTGCAGTGCTGTTGTCCTGCTTTGTTTTGCTCCCTTAGTCGGCTCTTACGACACCCACTGGATGAATTCGGGTGGTGACAATTTGTATTCTTAATCCGTCACCACACGGACAATACACACACAATAATTTACGTTTTAAAAGAGTCATAGATTTTAATAAATAAAAAAACATGCATTTTGATAAATTTTATTCTTCATTGCTTCACTTTTCAACTTTAGACATGGTATTTCTTCTTGAAATCCGAATGGGAGAAATGAATGAGAAGCTCCTCCTCCTTGTTTGGTTCGGTTAATAAATATACCTACTTACATCTATCGTTTTATAGACGCATGCAGAACAAAAAACATGTGTGACGTTACGTCTGACTTGAGAGTCGGATTCTCTGCAGCTGCCGCCACATACACGGGCATGCACTTACACACAAACAAAGCGTTAGGCTCTTAGTAACCAGTATAAATAAATAAAAATAATTGTCCTAGTAGTATAGTCACGTTCCTAATGCACTGTAATATTTTGAATTGTGCAAGTTTTTAATTTTTTACTTGTAGTTTTAAACGCAAGCAAAAAGTAATAATCCGCCTCCTCTTCTAGCCTAGAGTTAAACACGATACGCGGTATTTGTTAATTACGATTAATTTTCCTATTATTTCTTTCAACAGGATTTCTTAGACAGGTAAATATATATGCCTATGACGTAGAACAATAACGAACTTATGAACTCACGAACATTTATTAATATCTATCCCTTGTCCCTCCATAGGCTTGTACAGTTGAAAATTCTTATTAAGTCGTTACAATAAAAGATAACTTTAAGAAAATAAATAAAGTTTTAGAAAAGCATAACTGACTTTGATGCATTTATATCATTATAAATTAAATAAACTGTATTTTTCTTACCTTAATTTATCATTTTCAAACAGATTTAAGCGGTACCTTGAGTATAAAAATTTAATGAAATAAGAATTATTATAATCGGTTTACCAACACAAAAAAAATGTTCAGTTAAAAATTATCCTATTGAGAACTTTTTGTGACATTGGTTACAATAGAAAATTCCCATGTTTTTATAAAAATTAAACTCTTCATTTTAATAGACAGGTAAAATACCGATTATTGTTTTTAAGGATATACCTGCGTTTTTAAATGGTGAACTTTTAAGTCTTGCAATACCTTCACTAGACCTAGAGTGGATAATAAAGAGTGAGCTGATCAAATGTTAAATCACAAACGAAACAAATTTAACAGAATACAATTCTTTTGTTGGTTTTCACTAAGTGAATGACGTTACTACTCCAGCTTCTCCCCTGATTCTGGGAGGTAGTCAAAAGGCGACAACGCACATGTGTCTATTGAGCTACAGGTCTCCATAGGGTAGCAGTGAATTACCATCCGATGACTCGTCACCTCGCTTACCTCTATACCATAAAAAAATAATAAGATTTTTTTTTTCAATAATTTGTACTTTCAGAATCATGCATTCCGGTTGGTTGGCGTGGGAGTGCGTTGTCTTCGGTATTTTCGTGTGTGCGACGTCATGTGCTCCCTTATGGAGAAGGCGACGAGATGTCAGTGCTGCGGGAGGTAGCGCAAAGCAAGCTTACATCTTCGCCAGCGGCGGGGTGTCTACCTTGGCTATGATTTTGTCTGTCGCAAGGGGCACGTTGGGAGTTAGATCATTCTTAGGTGAGTGCTTTAAGATTTTATTTACCGACCTGAACGTATAAAAAAATTCAGACGGAACTCCCGCTATGACAAAACTGAGGCACCGTAATGGCGGCAACTCTCTATGTTTGAATGAATTTGGGGTTGCCATTATCCCAAATGTATGCAATAAAAACACAGTTACTAAATAAAAATAAAAAATGGTTTTCCGTTATCCAACGGAGTAATTTTGTATAAAATAATCTCTTACTTTGAGAAGTTCTTAAAATTTCCTCTTATTTCGAGATGTGGTGAAACCGAATCGTTAAATATTTATTAAGACTTTTTTTGTTTTCTATTCTGGCGAAAGTAGGTTCGGATTCTAAGTTTAAAAAAACGTTTTCATTGCCAACAAACCTTTTTACAACTTTTGTGAGAATATATTTGTGTTACCTTTCATTTTCACTATTACAATTTCTAATTATTTGAATCCAATAATTTCTTCATAGGTGGAGTACCTTATTTTTCTTAAAAGAACCTAGAATATGAAATAAAATACCTACCTAGTAGTAACTATTAAATAAATAACCTTAATAAATTTATTTTAATAACAAACCAAAAATTGCCTACATTTCGGGTAATTTACCCACGTGAAAATCGGCAGCAGAATTCTTTTGTTTTAGCGAATGCAAATGGATTTTAATGTATAAAATCTGGAAATAAGACATTAAATTATTAATTTCCCTATGAAACGGGATTTCTAGATTAATTTTCTTTCGGTCACTACGGTTTTTACAGCATTTCACCACTTAAAACATGTTGTATATTTATATTTTTTCGCTGCGTAATGTGTCTCGCTGTCTGACTAATGTGTGTATGTGTGCGTGCCGGCCTGTACGTACAGCGAGCTGGCCGACTATGAGTGACACAGTTTTTTTGTTAGCGTGGCTATGTCCGACTTTTTTATACGTCCATGTTAAACGGTTGTAAAAGATATAATATAACGTTAGTCTGTATTAAGTGTTAAAATGCTAAGGGACTATTCCCTTAGCGTTTTAACAAATATAATTATTATATATAGGTACTACGTGCACGTTCAGTGTTGTTGCGAATTTTAATCATCATGATCATCATCAACAGCCTCAACAGTCCACTGCTGGACATAGGCCTCTCCTTAGAAAGGAGGAATTTTAATAATATAATAATAATATTTTCGCACAGTTCTTCAGAAGGCTGGATGGTCTGTTGCGCAAATACCTTTACTGTTTCGAGAAGTCAAACAGCGTGTGTCACGCTTTCTTTTAACATTTATGGAAAACTTGCAGCAAGCACGTGTTTGTGTCGGTCAATTATAAGGTTTCCCTGATAAAGAAAAAGTTTAAATATAAAAAAAAGTGACCAGCAGATACTATGTATTCTAAGAAGTAGAAATTGTAAATAGTTTTGTGCTAGTAATAACTTTAGTATTTACTTTAATATTGAATGAAGACATCAATTATTACGATATCGTAAAATATTATTGAAGAAAATTGAAGTTACTCAACAATACCGCGTAAAAGTATTGAACAAAGTGTTTTTATTACACTTCTGCTATTAACAACGTTAACCTACTTAGTAGCGAAGCGATAAAGTAAGACATTACTTTCAAGGTCACCTTCTTACATTATGCAAGTGAGGAAAAGCTAATCGCGGCAGAATCATCTATCACGATTGACGATTAATGTGAACTTGTGTTCACTCCTTATTCATTTTGTGCTATTAATTTATTAGGTATTGGAAGTGATAGTTTTAAAATTTGTATTTACAATATATGTTTAAGTAAACTTTATTCCATTGCTCCACTATTATTAACATATATATATATATATATATATATATATATATATATATATATATATATATATATATATATATATATATATATATATATATATATATATATTAATTTTGGCTTCCCTTTTCATCTTCATTTCCCCTTTTGCAAATATTACCAATTTACCCATCTTTTATTCCTGTAGTGCCCGGTTGGCGTCAAAAAACTTACCGATGTTATTACGTGGGTGGGACTAAATAACAGTTGACAAAATGTCGGCGTAATCCCTCTGCCTAGGTCTTCAAGAATAGTTAAGCAAACAGAAAGTTATGTTATTCACCAAGCTGTTAAACAGTAGGAATAATAATTATACCCTTCGTTAGTAACACTGTTCCTCCAAGCTTCTCGTAACAGTTAATCGAGCCTTATTTATGTGCCTAGTAAGATGTTATGATTATCCACATAAATATCTCCTTTGTCGTTTAACCTTTTTATGGTTTTAGGTGATTAACCGCAGAGCGGTTTTGAAGGTAACTTAAAAACCAAAATTTTATGCGCCATTAAGTTATTATCTATTATCAAAAATAATATTCCTATGGTGACTGTGTGTAAATATAATTGATGTAATACACACAAAAGCGTGAATCATATGCGTTACTTGGATTGGGTTTGTTTTGACGACACGATGACGCTCATAATATATGTAGTATATCTTATGCTTATCTTATACCCCACACTTCGCAGGCTACGAGTGAGTGGGGACCTCTGGTAGCAGATTAATTGCTGCGGTAGGCGATAGGATGGTGGCCCGATCGCAAAATGTGATCATGCCGCAACACACATTGATTGGGCCGATAGGCTGGGGAAGCCCTCTTTCCTCGGGACAGGGCCTGGCTAGGCGCGGCGTCGATCCGGGGAGGACTTGAAATAAAAGAGTCCGGGTCCTCCCCAGGGCTGGTCGCCCACACCACATACTTCTGGCCACGAAGAGTCGGAGATCCGAAAGGATTTTACACACCGTCAAAAACAAAAAAGTCTTACAAATTAAAACGTGTGGATAAATCCTTGCTGAGTTTTCCTAAGTTTGGCAAAACTTGCGTCCAATACCTTGGATCATCTGTATTTAAGAATAATCAAATGAAATTGCGAAGCCTTTATGAATGATCTATAAGTTTGTGTGGATTTGAAGCCTCGTAGTTTGCTGCAATAGTGAAACATATTCTCTACATGTGATCTGGCATAGTTACACACGCTACACGCCTACCAACTCTTGGTATGCATTCATAAACACAAACTTGTGAAGAGGGTTCTTCGACATGTCTTCGATGAACTTGAAAAAGCTTGTCACTGATCCAGTCGGATGTCAAATTTTGCCTATTTTTTAGCGAGCGATTGCGTGAAATGATTCTGATATATTACATATATTGTGCGCATTTAGCGTAGCTTGAGATGCGGATTGATAGTTTGCTTTGAAAATTTATTTATTTATTTATTTAATGGAAAACCAACAGCTATAATAGTAGTGTATGACATAAAAATATGCAACATCAAGCCAATTACAGAAGCCTCACTCTTAACATCAAATTGAAGAACAAGAACAGAAGTGTTTAAAAATATTTTAAATTCTAAATAATTGAAATCAAAATCACAGCTAAAATTAAAAGAAAATTAAAATTAAATTCAAAACCAAAATCCAAACCAAAATCAAAATAAAAATAACATAAAATTCTCAACCTTATAATTTTTTACTGGTTTAGAGATACTACTTCAAAACCATAAGTTTCTAGAATATTAATACATAGCCAACCTTGCAGATGCAAGTAATCCCAAATACGAGAACCATAAAGATAAGAATGTGCTGATTATATTTTTCCAATAAAAATCCAGTAAGCTAAAATTTAGTACTTGATTTATACGTAACAGTTTCATTCAAAGAATTCTCATGGAATTTTTACGTTTTGCTGTTTATTTCTTAAAGTAAGTAGATATAAAGGTATGTAATCTTTGGCTGTACTGGCCAGGTTTTATAAATTTTAATGTGACACGTTATTAGTATTACTTATTTCAAACCTTTTTTTTGTGTGTTAGAGAGGGCAGACGAGCAGACGGGTCACCTGATGAAAAGTGAACATCACAGAACGAAATCGTTATAAAGAAGCAACTATTTTTATTATAGTTGTAATTATTTTTATAATCATAATATGTTGTCCAGAACAAAAATCTGTTACTGTTCGTAAATATTCGTATATCGTAAAAAACTGCTATGTCAGAGTCGATCGTAAAGCCTTAACACTTATTGTTCTACAATTATATAATTCAAAGAGAAAAAAAATGGTTTTGGCATATGCGTAAAACACTAAATTTTCTCGTGTATGCCATTTCAAGCGTAAAATAATTTATAATAAGTATAAAACAGCGGAAGTCTTAATTACTCTAAGCAGTATGTGTGTGTGTGTGTGTGTGTCTGTCTGTGGCATCGTTACCCCCGAACGGATGAACCTATTTTGACTTTGTTTTTTTTTTCTTTGAAAGTGAATTAGGGCGAGTGTTCTTAGCTATGTTTGATGAAAATCGGTCCAAGATGGCCGCCGCCACAAAATGGTTGATAACATTTTTTTTCACAACTTCCTCAATATGCATATCAAATGAAAGGGCTTGACTAGCAGAGTACACTAAGACACATTTCAAATTGAAGATGTGTGTCGGGTTTTTTTAATTGGTAATGAATTTATAATTAATGAAAATTCTTAATAATTTTTTTACTTAGACGTATCGAGTGAAGTAAAGTTTCGCTATCACGTAGAGAATAAGGAAAAGACTCTGAGAAGCTTGGTGTGACATGTGACAGCAGACAGTATTTAGAACTCAGTGGCGTTCATTAATAGAGGCCTATGTTTACCAGAGGACGAAAGGCTGATGATGATGATGAAATCTCTATTTCTATCTGTATTGTGAATATATCATTTAGGTGTGAGTACCTATTCACAGGAAAGATATTTACTTACGTGCTAATCACTGATTCTTGTTAAGATGTTATAGAATTCCGACCTCTTGAACTTTATTGTTTCGGAATTCTCAAGACTATCGTTTGTATGATGTTATCAATTACATCGATATATTTTCTTTGTACTATTATCTAGTGAGAATAATATTATCGTGATCTTAATATAAAAAGTACTTTTTTCTTTTATAAACATCGCAGAGTCACTGACCCAAGAATACATTGTTA